ATATTCAGCTGTGAGGAGATAATCAAGTCATAAACTTCCTAAACACCCTCAGTTCAATTTTACTTTATGTACCCTTTATAATATAGTATTTAATTACACATCACAGATAATAACCTCTCTGGGTCTTAGTGACACTTTCAGAGTTTATCTTCCATGTGGGCAATTCCAGACAAATGTATTTTAAAGTGATTAAAACAGTTGTAGTGCCATTAAAACGGGGCAGCTGTACCATGATCGTGGTAGTTGTAGGTCTGAAGTGGGTTGATAGGAAAAAGCCCCATCTCTTTTTTTGGTACCTTGCCTCACAGAAAATGTCATTTGCTGTGAGATTTTAGCCAGAGATGTGGGAGATTTGCCCTGAGCATCCATATGTAAAAGGGTCTCTTTCTGAGGGCGTCTCTTAAGGATTACTTTATTAGAACCCACCAAAGAATGATTTGAGCTAAGCTCTAGGGCTAAAGCTTCAAAGGTGAATTCAGTGTGACCTGACAGCCCCGTGGTAAGGATAACCCACAGAGGAGAGCATGGAGTCCTTTTTCCGCTTGTCCCTTACTTTTTACTGGAAATACCATGGCCTAAGGGGCCTTCCAGGTATGCCTGCAATTTTTCCTCACCACTCGCTGAGCCAGCAGGTTCCTATCTGCCTGCAGGGGCTCATGCAGGGTGGTTTTAGATTGCCTATCCCTCTGGTACAGAGCTACAGGTCAGGCCTTGACGAGCCTGAGCATGAGGAAACTCTTGTGCAAATCCTTGTTAGTGGGAGCAGTTAGATATCAATTTGTGCCTCCCTTTTCTGTTTGGCAGCAGCAAAGCAGTCAGTGCAGAGGTGGTAAAGAAAAGCCCAGTGCTGAATTCTTCCCCAGCAATTCTTCCCGCCTGTCTGGGGCAGCAGCAGCAGCTTGTGTTCAGAGCTACCAGGAATGGCTTCCCACTAAACACTTGGTTATGTTTGCATGAAAAGGCACAGATAAATAACAGAAACAGTCTGCCTAGGTCGAGTTCCACCTTTTTGATTTTTTGTAAGTGGAAAACCTGAAAGAAGCTACTGATGTGGAACATACTGAAGATTTTTGAATTGGCCTAGAGGAAAGCAGGGAAAATCCAGTAGCTTAAAATCTTTTCTGGGAATGATTTACCCTGTGTTTTCAAAAATAATGAGACCCTCTGTGAGTAGGTAGACAAATGTCACAGGTTTGTGAGGGGGGAGAAAACGAGTTTTTCTTTTGGGAAGATTTGATTGATGTGATCAAGTGCTCCTGTTCCTGCTTATTCTGGAAGGGCGGTCTGTGAGGGTGTTGGTGCCTGTCCAACTTTCTGATGGTGCTCCTGCTGGCTCAGAACCGCTGCACACTGAGAGCAGAGCCCTGTGAGAGTGCGGAGTGGCACATTCAGCACTGCACAGAGCCCTCTGCCACTGAACGGGACTGTCTTCAGCTGGATGTGAGAACTGTGTGTGCCTACATCGCTACTGTGGGCACTCCTTGGATTTCTTGAAGGATGCTATTAGAAGACTGGTTAGAAATAAAATGATCAGATGAAAACAAGCAGCCCTGTGGTGGGAAATCAGTCCCTTTAATATAGTGTGGTGATAACGGCTGGGGCAAAGCAGCTTTCCCTGGCTCTGCGGCTCATCTGCGAAATTGCTGTCACGAGGGGACCAGGCTCACACTGTGCAGGAGCTCGAGGCCTCAGAGGCCCAGAGGCAGCCTCCTGCATGGCCAGGCCTCGGGAGTGGCCTGCACGTGGCTGCCAGCCTGTGGGCGCTCAGATATGTTGCCTGCCCCTTGTATTTGTTATGTTTTAACATGGCAAGCAGCCCTGCTCAGCAACAATTAAAATATCAGTGTGTTATCAGTGTTGTTTTTCTACTAAAGCTGAAGCATAGCATCATAGCAGATACCGTGAAGAAAATCAACTGTCTCAGCTGAAACCAGGGTAGCAACCCACATCTGTAGCCCAAATGGCAATGGCGCCAACACACTGCCACAGCCCACTTGGCTCCGGGGCTTGCTCCTGTTATCCTGCACCAGCTCCTTTAGCAGGCTAATGGCACACTGCGGGTGCTGCCAGCAGGCAGCTGAGCTCTGTGAGGCCTGTGGTGCCTCCAGAGTATATTGCTCATTCTGCCCTCAGTGCACACATCGGTGCCTCCACTGTGGTTTGGGGGGAGAACTGACATGCCATGGTGTTGCTTGCTGCTGTGCATCTGACCCCTTTAAGAGGCTGGAGTGCTGGTCTTTCTGAAGACATCAGAAAATAGGCTTCTGCAGGTTAAATGATTGGCTAAATGTGTTACTGTTTTCCTAAGAGTATATGAAGTGCTACAGATACTCATAAAACTCTGGATTAATGTCTAAAAATCAGTTAAAATTATTTTAGTGTTTTACTTTAGTTTTAATTTAAAATCTTATTTTATGATTTTATTCTTCAGCCTGCTCTTTTTGATTCAGCAGAGCCCTTATGCTCGCAAGTTACTATTAGTACATGAGGATCAAAGAAAGAAAGCATGAAACTGCTCTATGGTCTCTTTTCATCCTCTCTTGAGGATGCTGCAACCAAGCCTCTAGCCTGGAGGGCACTCCTTTTTGTTGACATCGGGAATGGTGCCAGGTGCTTTTTTCATAGCACATATGAGACTGAAATTGCTCATTAAAATTCCTTCCCACCTTAGTGCACAGTGCTTGCTGTGGGCTGCCCTGGGTGTTGACCGTCTGTGTCAGCAGCATCTGGCTGCTCAGCATCCCTGGACTGGGAGAGCCTGTCTGTCCCTTCCTGAACCTGCCTTGGGTTGTTTTGGCATGCTTTCCAAGTTTCAGCATCTTTGCTTTATGGATTTAATGACCTCACCAGTTTTATCTTTTTTTTTTTTTTTTTTTTTTTTTTTTTAAGCTCATTTATCTTGGTTACATTTGCTTAATTGAGACTAATGTTTTGTTGAAAAATTTCTCAGTCCCCAAGCTGAGCTTCTGAAGTGAATAGATTTGGCTAAAAATTTGCAAATGAGCTATTAATATTTCTACAGCAAAGATACTTTCTTTACTCATCACTTCCATGTCAGCCTGGAGGGATTCCCTTTTCTGAACTGACTGTCAAATGGCTGCCAGCATTTCTTTCTCTGCCCCTAGAGCTGGGCCCCATGTCTGGAAGCCTGGTCTTCTGTGGCTGCTGTTCTGGAGCCATGTTCCCACTAAAAGCGAGCCTCTCTTGTATCCCAAAAGAGGGAAAAAATGATTTTTTATTTATTTTTTTTTTTAAATCTGTCTTCCTAATGCTGTTTTATAAGCAAGTTTGGGTCATTATTTGCATCTTAGGCATGGGTATCATGAGATAATGTTCAGGAAGAGGAGGCAGAAGTAGTTTACATGTTAATCTTCAACTGGAGAAGTGCCATGGTGCCATCTGAAGGTCTTCCTCAGATCTTTAGGGGTCATATCTCACATAGCTCATGCCTGTTTTCATTTCCTGAATCGTGTGAGGGCATGATTGGAAAAAAAGTAGTGAGATGTCTGGAAATAGCTAGATCCAGGCATTACAGAAGGAAGAAAAATGTCATCGTGTTTGCATTTGAATAATTGGTCAAATCATCATGAATTACAGATCAAGCTGAAAATCCGATTGCCTGAAATTGGCAAAGAACTTAAGGGATTCAGCTTCATCTTAAAATAATGAGTGTTCTATCAAGGGAGAATCAAGAGGCAGAGCCAGTCACACAGGTTGCATTATTTAAAAGAAGCACTCCTATGTGGAAGGGTAAAAACATGTCAGAGTTCGGCTAGGTTAGGGGCTGAGTTTGGTAGCTATGTTGCAGAGGGGTCGGACTGAGCAGGATAAAAAGAGCAGCCAGCGTTTTTGGATCCAAGCAGCAAGCTGATGACAGATATACTGTTCTGCTATGATCTATGGATTATTGTCTAATGACTTCAAATTACTGCTGTTAACACTAATCAGTTGCACATTGTTGAAGAACAGAATTGCACAGGCATGCGCAGAGAAGTGCCCCCCAGTAGCTGATGCATGGCTTGGACTGAGAGAGGCTGCCAATACGAATGCATGCTGGAGCAGCTGAAAAGTCTTCGGGAAGCAAAGCGTTTTTCTTTCTCTTTAGAAGAGTGCAGCCAAAGGAGGGAAACTCACCGAGTCCTTCCTCTATCTCTGAAAGGAAAAACTTTGCCTTAAAGTCGGGAAATTGACTTTGTGTTAATATGAGGAGGTTCTGAATGAACAGAATGTGATAAATTGGTTGCTATTGGCATGCCTTGCTACAGTATTTATAAATATTACATAATATTAGTTAAGAAAGATCAGGCCTTGCTTTTATACACAAGGAACCAGGCCATCCCATGAAATGACAAATACGGAAATATTGAGATTTATTTTCTTATAACTGTGCTCTGAAACACATTTACTTTTGGATACCCAAAATTAGACATCACCAAGGGGACTGATTTTTTTTTTTTTTTTTTTTTTTTTAAGAAGTCGTTGATCGTATTCCAGCACTGAACATAAAAGCCCCTGAAAATTCAGGCATGATGAGTATGTACAACTCTATATTTAGGTATCTGAATATGAAATCCCTGGCTGTGATCTCCAAACTAACTTATAAAAGCATGCAGAGCTGCTGTGGCTCAGCTCATCCTTGCTTTACTCAAAACCCTTTGTGCTCTGTAGATATATTTTTGATGGTTGAATGAAGACAGACCGGTTTTATGGGAATCTTGGGAATGAAATAGCATTTTTTTTTTTTTTTTGCATGCTTTTATTATTATTAACTTTATTTAAAGCTGAATAGAGCTCTGGAGCTTTTGGCCTCCACAGCTACAATAAAATGCTTATGCCCTAAAATAGTTCTACTCCTTGCTCATGACTTTGGGCTTTCAGCATAGTTTTTGGAGAGGAGCTATTTATGGACTACAAAATAAGGTGCTGGAGAAAGGAATTTAAAGCATGTCCTTGAGCTGTTCAGGGAAGCTTTGCAGAGTGGGAACAAAAACTTGTGTCCACACTAGTGCCTACCAAGGCTGCCAAGGAAGGATGCCTGGTTTGTGACTGCCTACATGCTACAGTGGATTCATCTCCCAGGTAAGGGATGGCTCAGGTCTTTACCTTCTTGCTGTCCTCTAAGGGAAGGAAGCTTCAAAAAGCTTTACACTGTGATTTTAATTGGGAAGGTTTCTACACAGAGGATGTGAATGAGCATCCCACGAGGGAAAAGCCCAATCTAAACAGAGCCATGCCATTATTTCATCATACTGGGGTAATATGCAGTGATGTTCAAAGTACGCTAAGTAAATATTTGTTCAAATCTCTTTTAAACATAGCACAATTTGTAGAAGAAAATACTGCTTCTGGAAAGGGGCTGTCATCGACTGGCTCAGCTGCAGGATGAGTCCAGCAGCTGCCTGCAGATGGGGGAACACTGGGGAAGAAAAGATACAGACACTGAAAGGATGGGGCCAGCCCACAAACTGGCATGTGTAGCAGGTAGATGCTGAGGTTTTGCTATAAGCCCTCCAAATTATTCACAGAGCAAATGCTTTGCTATTTAGCCAAGAAAGAAACCAGCATCTGGAGGGGATGGCACCATCTGGGCTGTGTGACAGCAAGGGGCATAACTTAGTGACATGGCTGTCTTCTCTTGTCTCTGTTCTCTGCTCTTGAGCTGCTAACTCTACCTCGAGTAACACAATTCCAAGCATTCAGCATTTCTAGACATGCTTGTTCTTAAACAAATGTAAATCCTATACTATCTGTATAACAAGGAAAAGCATCATCCTCATCAAAACAAAATAAATCAGTATCTCATTGCAGTGCAGCAACCTAAACTGTTAGACAGTCTGTATTTATTCTGTTTTATCTGATTGTTTGTAGCTCAGTGGGAGTTCATTGCTCAAAAGCCAGGCTCTTGCCTTTGGAGTTCCCCCACGGTGCCTTATAAACGCACTTCCACCACAAACTTCTCTGCACCTGAATGAGTATGTGTGTGCAGAAAGTGGTTTTCCATGCCCCAAATCATGCTGTGAAACTGGTAGGAAAGGGGCTCTGCAGAGAGCATTGCTTATGGCACACAGCATCTGCAAATGGCTAGCAGCAGCAGCACCAATTTCCTGGCCAAAGGCTGATCTGAAGGAAGGGCTGTGAATCCAGCACCTGAATTTGAGGTTATTTTACCAGCAATGGCGCCCTTCATTCCTGGGTGGGAGGTGAAGAACGAGGAAAAGGCTTTGAGTCTTTGTTGCTTTCCTACAAGTCCAAAAGGTGCCTTGCACTTGCATGATATCCAGAAATCCTGCCAGGGTGAAGATCGGTGGCTGGAGGAACAGCTCTCCTGACACACTGGAGAGAGAGAGAGAATGTTTGCTGCATGACATTATATAAACTTTAAAATAATGAAGTGTGAGATCTTTGCTTTGTTTGTGTGCTTCCATGGGGCAGTGATTGCTCCCCGTGGACAGAAGCAGCATGGCCCAGTTCCCTGCCACATGCTTGCAGCCGACAGCATTCATGAGAGCTTTCCATATTTCCTACCTTACACTAAATTGAATTTCTCTCCTGCCAAACACAGCAGTGAAAGCTAGTTTCTATCTGTCACGGATCAGACAAGGGTGGAAAGAAGGCTCACTGCTTTTTCCCCAAGAGCGCCCTGCGCTTCACTTGCTGACCAGTGACCGACAGACCGGTCACTTTGTCTTCAGAGCTGTCAAGTGCCTGCCTGGTGCCGTCTAGTCAGTGATTCAATCATGTCAAGATGAGGAAGGACGTGGTTTCAAAACCTTGAATGCCCTTCGTTCTCAGACTGCTCTGCCATGCAGCGTGGGCTCTTCAGTCGTCTCCTGGATGAAATGATCTCATTAGGTGATTTCAAAGAGCTTGATGCAGAGTGGCCACCTGCTTTCTCAGAAAGAGTGTCTCATCAGCTTTCCTGGAACTGACAAAGCACATGTGAGAGTGGTGTCTGATCACTGAAAACCTTACTTTAAAGGTGTAGTGCCAAGATTTTTTTTGTCAAAGCAAGAGTGAAACAGAGCACTCCTCTGTCTCCTGCTCCTTCTCTCTTCTTCCACTTATCCCCTCTATTCCCAAGCTTTTTTGTCTCCAACATACTTCCACACTGATGAGATTTATCCATTACCATTATTTACTGCAGTATATGTAAGCACATGTGAACAATTGATAGCAGCTTTTCAGTATCTACAGGGAGGATATAGGAAAGAAGAGGACAGACTCTTTAGCAGGGTCTGTTCTGATAGGACAAGAGGAAATGGTTTCAAACTAAAAGAAGGGAGGTTTAGATTGGATATAAGGGGGAAATATTTTACAGTAAGGGTGGAGAGGCACTGGAACAGGTTGCTCAGAGAGGTGGTGGATGGTCAGACTGGACTGGGCTCTGAGCTGTAGGTGTCCCTGTTCATGCAGGGGAGTTGGACTAGGTGACTTTTAAGGGTTCCTTCCAACTCAAACAATTCTATGATTCTATGAATGGATATAAAACCCCATGGGAAAATTCTGCCTCTGAAGTGACAAGAGCTTTTTGATTTCTAGTGCTCAGTGTTATAGTTAAGAAGACTGTGATCCTGAAGTAAGACTGTGCCTGGGGAGTTTTACTGACTCAGTGACAGCGGGTTAACAGATACAATCACAGAATTATAGAATACCCTGAGTTGGAGGGGACCCACAAGCATCACAGAACGGAGGGCTGTCTGCCTCTGGTAAGTCAGACCACAGTTTTGGTCATCATTTTTCTCATGGGAGTGTATCCTGTCTCCAGAGGTGGGTGATGTTACCAGCTGGATTTATACAGCCCATTACAGAGCTACCTGATCTGGCTGGAAGTGGGCGCCTGCGAGGTTTTGCATTTCACTGCCAGTCTCTCCTTTTCCTCCTGGTCTGTAAACAAGCAGCACTGGAAGCATAACTGCAGCAATATATTGAGGGGCTGCTTGCTATCTTTTAATAAACATCAGAAACTATTTGCTTGGCTTACAAAAGAAAACATTTTTTTCACCACAGACGCTACAAACTGAACCCACGTGTTTGAAAGCTGGGCTGCTTTCCTGCGCTGTGTGTGCATCGGTAGCTGAGAATCAGAAGGCAGCGTTTATTTTTTCCAATGATGCAAAGAGCAGATGGACTCTGCAGTGCTCCTCTTGTAGAGTTGGCTTTGTGGGGCTATCAGTTTTATTTATTTTTTATTTTTTGTGAGATATATGTCTGGGTAAAGCAGGAGAGGACATACATTGCAAGAAGAAAATGCCATTTCATGAGGTTTTTATCTTAGTATACTTTTTTAAAAATTACTGTTGGCTTAATCCTTGATATTGCTTTCACTTGGAGCCAGACAGATTATGGAAAAAATGCAGTCTCACAAGATAGCTTTTTAAAACTTACCCAGAGCTCTTATATAAAAGTATCCTTCTCTCACAGCATCCCAAGATTTGCCTTTTTGTCTCCTCCTGTGATCTTCAGGATGATTATTATTTAATTAATAATATTTACAATGTGTCAGCAGTTAAGTGTTGCTTCAGTTCTGCGTGTAATCTTTATACACCTGTAGTCATGGAGGAAAATATCTGTTACCCTGATCCATTGGAAATGATATAAAATGCTGTTTTCCTTTGTGTTGCACTGGGAATGCGGTGCTGGCTCCTTTCTGCTTGTGCTCAGCAGAGCAGGGCTCAGTGGGCCCAGTGCTCTGGAGGAGAGGAGGCTCAGGGAAAGCCTTATTGCTCTCTACAGCTGTCTGAAAGGAGGTTGTGGCAAGGTGGGGGTTGGCCTCTTCTCGCAGGTAATAGCAATAGAATGAGAGGGAATGGCCTCAAGTTGCACCATGGGAGATTCAGGTTGGTTATTAGGAAAAACTCCGAAAGAGTGGTTGGGTACTGGAACAGGCTGCCCAGGGAGGTGGTGGAGTCACTGTCCCTGGTGGTCCTTAAGGAATGTGTAGATGTGATACTAAGGAACATGGTTTAGTGGACAACATCGGTAAATGGTTGGACCAGATGATCTGAGAGGTCTTTTCCAACCTTCATGATTCTATGATTCCATGATTGTATTTCTTGAAAGCAAGTCAGGCTGGGATTTCACATGTGTCAGTGAGTGGGAATCCATCTAAAAACCGTGGCTGCCCACTGGCTCACACTGCATAAAATGTGCAGAGCCATGGTGACCTTCAACAGTCCACTGCTTTGAATGCAATTGATGACGATTAATTGATTCATCTTGGGCCATCAGGCCCCAGGAAACATTATTTTCTTCAGTCAGACTTAGTAATGGTGAGCCTTTAAGAGTGGCTCTTCCCATACAGAGGGCCCTGCTGAGTGAGCCATTAGTCATCCTTATCTGGGAGAGAGGAGGCGGCAGCTCTTACAGCTTCTTTATCACTGCAGTGTGAATTCTCTGGGAATGATGGGGCTGTGGGAAGGCTGTACTGAGCCCAGCTGCCTGCAGCAGAGCAGAGGGCAGGCTGCCTGCTTCGGAAGTGCCAGCTCCACTATCTCCACAGTGAAATTGTGCTTCTATTCTTCAAAGCTGCTTATTTTTCAGAGGTAATGACTAACAACTGCTCCCTTTCCCCTACCCCCACCCCATACTTTTCTGATGATGTCTGACACATTTTATTTTGGCAAATAACTGGAGCTCAGTGCTTCCCCTGACCGATGGATGATCCGGTTCTGAGTCCAAGAGCTTTGAAGCAGGCTCTGGACGCCTGGCTTGGGTGTGATGCTTCTTGTCTGTGGGAATCCCAGAATAGGTTTTGAAGAATAGCATGGTTGGATTTCATGTTATGAAGCACTTCCTTTAAGGTTTCAATGTGGTTTCTCACATTCTTTCCAAATTTGACTATGCCATGGCTGCTCTTCTGTGGCGATGAGAACAATGATAGAAGGAGGGGAAATGTTTTCAAACTAAAAGAGATTTAGATTGGGTATAAGGCATAAGTCTTTTACCCAAGAGTGGTGTGGTACTGGCACAGGTTGCCCAGAGAGGTGGTGGATATCCCATTGTTGGAGACACCCAAGATCTGGCTGGACTGGTCTCTGAGCATCTGATGTAGCTGAAGGCATCCCTGTTCATAGCTGGGGAGTTGGACTGGGTGACCTTTAAGTGTCCCTTCCAACTCAAACTGTTCTATAATTTGATGATTCTGTGGTTTCTTGAGAAGGTATTGAACATGCTTCACAAATACACAGTCCAGTGCTAGGGCTGTGCTGAACTGGGCTGATCAGAAGAGGTGTTCTGCGTGGGAATGTGAGAACATCACTCTGTTCCTTCTCCCTTTGAACCTGACATATCTGCAGGAAGAAGGAACAGACTTGCTCCAAACCCCTCCTCACAGAAGTCACAATGTCACCCTGCATTTCTGTGTGGGTCTTTTCAGCCAAACAGGATTTTGAGCTAGGTCTGTGCTCTATGGGCTTCTTCACTGGAATTTCCTATCAATTAGTAAAATACCTGCCCTCCAGGAAATCTGGCAGTTATCTGCCTGTCCAAAGCACCTGTATTTCTGCCAAACTGTCCATCTTGTACCTCCTTTGCGTAACACACTCTGTTACAGTGCATGTTTAATACAGCATCATTGTCTGGGAGATGACATTTGCCTTTTGCCTTGACAGGTGTTTGACAGTATCTCACCACCTTTCCCATTATTTCCCCATGACAAGTTCTATTCGTAATGAGGCTGAGAATAGGGGCTGCTTTGCACTTATCACGGAGGCTGTCACAAGCACACTCATCCCTGGAAAGGATCCTCAGTGCACGGTTGGTGTGGCTGTCACAGCAGAGCCTCTCCAGGATTGCTTCTCTCTAATGATCAGCAGAGCCCCGCGGGGCCGCAGGGGATGCAGCTTAGCAAGGCAGCGAGCTCTCTGCAGGATGAGTGGCTGCTCTGTTGTTTTCATTATCTGTAGTATTCACACAGGCATTCATGACTTCATTTTTTTCCTTATCTGTGATCTGCCGTCCTTTTAGCTAGAACCCTTATGTGATAAAAGACTGCATCTGCCTGGTTGATAACTTTCGAGAGAGAGACATGTATTAGCTTACAAGATACGTACATTACCAACCAAAAGTAAAAATAGCATAGTATCAGTCTTGTTTTTAAAACAAATTCTTGGTCTAGAAGTGCTTGCAGTTTCAGTTTTAGAAATGTTCTGTTTCTTCTTCTATCAACAGAACTGACCTTGTCGGGGACATCCACTGAGGATGATAACATTGCCAGGTGCTGAAATTAACAGCCATTTCCTAAGGGTGTCCTCCTCCACGTATGTCTTCCAGCAGAAGAAAAACAGAAAAAATGCAAAGAAATCTTTTAGAAACCAGAATATTTTCTCCAGTCCCAAAAGTCTCCTAATTCAGAATACACCATCTTGTTTATGCTACAGAGCTTGTAATTTTCTTTACGATGCCAAAAGTTGTGAATATCTGATGACATGAAATTTGGCTCGATGATGTGCTGCTGGCTGAAGCCGTACATGAAATGGCTCTCTCAGCTTCTCATGTCATGTATTAAAACAGGACAAAAACCCTGGGGGAAAATGTATGTTTGCTTTTCTCAGAATTTAGTTAGGATATGAAGGTGCTAAAACAATACCTTTTTAGCTCACATTTGTCCATAAATTTAGGGTGATTTTCCTTTTTAATGGCAAAGTAGATCTGTGTCACCACGGTGACAGGTAGCTAAGGCTCATGGCTGATGTGATAATGTTTGTCAGAGAAACGGCAGCAGAAAGCAGCAGTCCCTCTGCCAACAAAAATCTTCTATCAGCCCTGTAGGTGTCTGACGCCCAGGCGCAAAATGGGGACAGTTATACAAGAACAACTCGACTTCATCACGGGTGATGCTTGTGTATGCAAATACTGGTGTTGTGAATCCAATTAGGTTTCTCTGCGTGCAGGAATATGCCAAACTAGCTGCATCTGATCAGGCTGATTGAGGGCTGGGTACACATAAGGTCATCCACCAGCAGAGCCCAGCATGGATACCTGGAGCCAGGAGCAGGCAAGGTAAAGGTACAGTGGGATGGCACAATGGCAAACCTGGGTAGTGGGGAAAAATAGCAGGATTATCCATTTTATATCTTCAAGCAGCTCATTTTCACTTTTCCTAAGGTTAGTTATTGCTTTCTCTTGGGACAAGTAATGACAAAAATCCTGTCTATTTTTTTGGGTGTTTTCAGTGTATGCCCTAAGCAGAGCAGTGAACAGACGCTGCCATGCACAGAGGCTGGGTGGGAGCCGCTTGTGCAGCCGTTGTCAATGGAACACTTCCGCACTTAATGAAGGAGTGGTGTCATTTATTAGAGCAATTTTACTTTAGGGCCTCCTGAATATTCATGGCATGCTGGTTCCTGCTGATCGATGTTTCTGTTGACTCAATGAATCAGCCGATCTTGTGAAGAGTTTAAATCGGCCCCAACACTGACAGAAACCAGCCTCAGATTGCCTAATAATCATAAGGATTTCTGTATAATAATATAATAATAAAATAATATGTTTATGCTTTTGTCTCCCAAGCTTGGATTCACCCAATTCATATGCTTAATGCAACACCTCCCAGTGCATGCAGGAACAATGTCCCGACTTTCCTGCACCCATCAGAGGTTCCCACACTGTCAAGAAGTCTTCTGGATGTCCGATCCAGATACTGACCTGATAACTGTTCTCAGAGACCAGAGACCTGTGATCATCCTTCATACAGTTAAATTGCTTTCCTATACTTTGCACAACACGTTCTTCTATCAGCTTTCCCACTCCCATGATGCAATTTTCTAATGGTTTAATTGTTTTACCCATATGCTAAGCATGTACCAAGCAGGGTCCTCTCATTAGCAGCTGTTGACCTGTAAACCAGAGCTGTCAGGAAGGAAGCCCAGAGAGTGCGCTGCAAAAAAGTGATGCGCTTACTGTTGTTGTCTGAAAGAAATTTTACATTTAATCTTGAGCACATGATAAAAGGTGCAGAAAAAGGACAAAGCAATTCTGCTAAGGTGAAAGACTTTCTGTAAGACTTCAGTAGTAAACTTTTGATAATAGATACAAGAGTGGGAATTATAGCAGAAAGCTCTCAATCCTGCCTGAAAGATCACTCAGTGATAAGGAGGCCAGTTCTCTCTTATTTAAATTTACCTGAGCTCTATGGAAGCCCCCCAGATATCTACATTTAGAAATCTTCCCTTGAACATGAGCTCAGATAGAGTTTGAGCTCTTCTTTTATTATCTTATCTCTATTAAGAAATGATCCCTATCTTTTAAGGCCAGCAGATACACCTCCTTGCTGTTTGCAGTCCAGATTTTTTTCTGTTTATCCCACAGATAGGCACATCATGGATCATCTCTCACTCCTTGCCTACAGTCCTTTCCTGTTAATTTATTTCCTATCAGCTCTCGTAAGTATAGTTGAAGTTGGAAAGAGACTTGTGGTAACATTTAACCTTCTCTGTTTTACAGTATTTCTAGTTTGTCTAAAGGCATTTAATGTTGCCACAGTAAGAGTTAAAATTATTCAGAAAGTGTGTACAGCAATATGTGCAGTCCATGTATGTCTTCTCATGTAGACATGTATGTCTTCCCCCATAGGTATTTCCTAGTGCTCTTGCTCTGCTCAAGAGTACCACAGTTGTCTTGTCTAGACCTCTGTAAGCAATTAGAGGGAGCACAAACAGGCATCACATCAAGCAGCTTACCTGTCACACTTTTAAGCGCATCACTGCTTCATTTGTACAGATACAGTAATAAGACTTGACAATTTGGGGGCTTTGGGATATCACTATTGCCTGAAACGTAACCTTGATCAACAGCACCCAGTACTTAAAGTCTTCACCAGGAGAAGTTATGCTGTCACTAGTTAGCTTTCTTCCCCTGGTGACCTTGTCTGCTGAAGAAGGTATTCATTTGAGTGGGAAGCACACAGCTTGTGACAAATCCTCAGGTTTGTCTTTTATCATCATCTACTCCCCAGAAAAGGGGAGAAATGACAGCAAGTGAGGCAGATTATCCTCATAAAATGAAGTTTGCAATTTAATATGCAGTTGCTATTGCATACTGAGAGTTTATAATAGAAGTTTTTAATTGGAATTCATAAATTGCTCGTGGACAGGTTCCCAAAAGATCACTTATCATCATTTCACCCGTATAAATGACTGACAAGGTAGATGAACATTTGGCATAAGACATAAAACTCAATCTTATATCCCTTTTATCTGGCTTGGCAACACGATCTGACAATGTTCCACAGAAAATCAATAACAATAATAGCTGTCTCATTAGTGGCCTTCACAATGTTGCTGATTTGGCTTCTTTTGTGGGGCCAACCACAGGCTAGAGTGTTTTTCTTCTTTTACGGGGTATCCCCTGAGATCTAGATATATCAGAGATGAGCTAATCGTCCAAATTACTATTAGAAGAGTTCTTTAAAAGAAGTCCCAGCCTACTTCATGAAGATCTGTCCTAATCTTCAGGGTCTAGTTTTGTAGCTCAGCATCTGTTTTCCTGCAGGAATAATTTTCCGTCTAAAACCTGGCATTGAATTCTCTTGATCTTTTTCTAGGAAAATGATAATAAAATGAAGAATAACTCTTCTATTTGGTTTGCAAGAGATCCACTCAGCACCATTAGCTACGTCTTCTGACAAACTAACAAAGAGCAAACCAACCCTTTCTGCCCTGCTGGGCCAGGAGGTGAAGCTTCCAGGTAGGGCTGTGCACCCGCGGCTTTGCTGTCATCCCAGTTCCTTCAGGGGCTTTCCTTCCTCTGCACCTGGTGCTGTGGATGCTGTGTCCTGTCGCCAACCATGGTCAGCACCTCCTTGCCCTGGCACACAAGATCCTTGGGAGATTTTGCTTAGCAGAAGTGGTTGAGCCATGGAACACGTAACAGACATCATGATTATACCTGAAGCCTTCCAGTGTTAGAGTTTATGTCCATTAGGATGCGAGTTGGAGCTACAGCTTTATTTTTATTTCTTCCTTGTCAATGTTTATGAAGCACCTGAAAGCGCTGAAGAGCTGTGATCAACATGCAGGCTATAGAGCTTGTCACATCTGAGGACAGCCAGCAATGCCGAAGGGGGATACTGTGAAAGCAGCAGAGCAGCAATGGGCCCAGTGTGTGCAGGAGCTCAGATCCATGTTGCTGCTATTGGGCAGGGCACACCTTCCTGCACATGGCCTGCTCCTGGTGAGAGAGATGACCGAGCCATGGGCAACAGCTTGGGGTGCATGGTGGTTTCACACCGATGGGTTCTCACACCTCCCTCTCAAAGGAAGAAGGGGAAAAATAGGATGGAAAAAAGAAAGGCTCAGGGTTTGAAATAAGCACCATTTAAATAAGGGGTGAGGGTTGGGGGAGGATGTTGAAGGAGGGAAGAGAGAGAGAAAAATGAGCAAAGACTGTGTGGAAGCAGAGAGAAAACAGTTATTCTGTACTTCTCATCTGCAAGAAATGCTCTGCCACATCTTGGGAAGCAGAACCTCAATACACATAGCAGTTGAATAGGAGGACAGATGTTTTAATAACATTCCCCTTTACCAGCTTTTACTGCATAGTGTGCATTCCTCAGAGTATGGAATATACCTCAGGTTGGTTTAGATCGGCTGCCTTGGTGATGTCCCCTCCATAGCTCTTGCCCACCCACAGCCTCCTGGCACTGGGAGTGTTGGAGAGAGCCTTGATGCTGTGCCAGCACTGCTCAGCAATAGACAAAACATTGGTGCAGTATCTTGTGCCATTCCAGCTACAAGAGCAGAGCACAGCACCACAGGGCTGCTGTGGGGAAAGTGAACTCCATCCCAGCCAGACCCAGTGCAGAGAACTGACAGGCAGAAGTGTCATCATGCGTGCAAAGAAGCGCAAAGAAAATCACCTAAGATTTATCAGGATCTTCTCGTTGCTCTTTCAGCCTCCCCATGGAATAACAACAAAATAGGAACATCTCATTGCATTAGGAACATGTCTTTAACACTTTGTATATGCTGTCTCAAAAGAGGAGCAATTTCTCCATTAAGTTAACCATTCCAAATAGCTGGTTCTGATGAAAAAATTTCCAAGGAATATTAGGCTATGTTATAGTTTCCCAGCTGTGAGTCAAGAGCATAACTTTCAAGCTACTAATAAAGAAGGACTCTCTGAGAGGCTGCACTCTCCTTTCCCCAGCAGCTCTCAGAAGAGGAAGCCAAAGAGGTTTCCAGAATGAATGAATGCAATAACATTGTGCATTCAGTTTGCCTCCATACCTTTTGTTCATAGCTATTTTTTAAGGAATATGGAGTCTTCTGCAAGGGCAGCCAGGTTAGAAGAGATGGGAAGTCCCTGGGAGGGTTGTGGAGAACCAGGACACCTGTTTGGCTGTTCCATGGCTGCATCAGTCTCCTTTCTTTCTTTAGTAGATGCCATGGTATACCACTGGTAATTGATTTTCCTGCCTTGTCCTTGGGAAGAAAAAAGAGAAAACCAGCTTACCTGGGGTAGAAAGAGGGGACAAGGCATTGTGATGGGACACCATGGTTGCAGCGTACTGAGTATGAGTAAGGAGGGAAGGAATGATGGTGTGGTTTATACCTTACAGACCCAGCTGTAACTTTTAAGGTATTTTCGTATCCTTCAGCGCAAAAGTGCCAGAGAAAAGTGGGATCCAGACAATAATACAGATGGTGAAAATAATTAGGGAGGTAAGACACATAGTTTCAGTAATATCTAATAACAATAACAACCTCCATTTCATTCTAATACTTCTTTGGCTAATCTTGCTGTTTTATTTTTAAACATTATTCAGAGAGAACTTAAAGAGCTTGCTGACAAATTCACTGCCTTCTATTTCAGGAGAGCCTTGAGAGATGCTGCTAATGAAGACAAATGAAGGAAAAGGAACTTGACCCCAGAGTATGAAATTTTGCTCATTAAGAAGTGCTTCCAATTGGCTGATTGATATTATTTTGATGTAGATGGGGTAATTAATGACAAAAAGTAATGCAGCAGGATATGAGTTGTGCAGAATGCACTTCAGTCAATCTACCTTTTATTATGCCTTGGTTTATTTATGCACGCTATATTTGTTATGCTACTGCCTGATGCGGTTCCCACCTTCATTTGGAATTTCCTTCACTTGTTTTCTTCATTCTTTATGCTATTCTGGGATTTCTTTCTTTCTTTTTTTTTTTTTTACTTTTCTGCATGTAATTTCCTAATCTGTTTTTAGTAATAACAAGGATGCACTTTCATGGCCACAAGGAACATTTCTGCATGTGAAACATTTCTTACAATAGAAATAGCCATTGAAACAAACTACACTTCCTTCCTACTTCATTGCACAGGCTATGGGTATTGCCAGTAAATTAACTGCTAGGAATCTCCCCTGTACACTCACATGATTACTCTGTCCCAGAAGGAAATGAGGAAAATCTGAAATTCTTTACATTTTTTTTGGCTGGGTGGGTGGAGGAAAGAAATGCCAGAACTTTTGTAATGACACATCCTCCTGGAAGGAAGCGGTCCTGTGGTTTTAAGCCAAAGGATTTAAAACCAGTAAAATACCACTGTACTTTTGATTTAGCTTCTTGATGTGTGAATAATGCATGCCACCAAAGAAAAAGACAGGCTAAAAATACTGAGTGATGTGAAATGACCCTTGGACTGATCCTATAAATGTTTATGCATGTGAATAATTTTACACAAGCTTACTAAGGTGATAAGAGAATATGTTCATGAAAAGTTACTGACCTGAATGTTTGTCTGGAGGATCAGACTGTTGCTATGGATATTTTTATCCAGATCTCCCAAAGAAAACTTGTGTAATCATGTTTGGTGTGATTCCCTCTCCACTTCCCTTTTGTCTTTCCCAAAACCTTTGAATCTTTTGACATAAACCTGGTACTTACTCTTGAGGTCGTACAAAGGAGCTTCTTAATATAGTGTGTGACTCAAAAAATAATTGCCATTTAAGAAAAAGACACGTTCTTTTGTGCAAGATGCAAAGAAGAATATGGAAGAAAGTGCCAAAAATGGGAGCTTCCAGCTTTCTGCTACATGATAGTTTTCCATGTGTACATCTCCAGATCAAGGGAACTGCGACTGGGCGAAGAAGGGGAAAGTGACCTCACATGCCCTGTAAGGAAGAGCGTTCTGATGAGCAGTTATCAGACAATAGCTGATCATATCATAGAATCATAGAATCATAGAATCACAAGGTTGGAAATGACCTGCAAGATCATCTAGTCCAACCGTCCTCCCATTACCACTGAGGAGAACCAAACTGTGTACTCAACAGAGGCAGTATCACCATTTCAATGCTTTCCATCTTCTCTGGATATATGCTCTGGAATTTCCTCTAATGACAGTAATTTGTCTGCTTGCATATTCTCACTGACATTAAAAAAAAGAAATAGGGGGGACCAGGTATTCCAGGTATTCCAGCAACTTTGATATCCCTGGTGACTTTATTCAGAAGATGTTGAGACAGAAACTGAATGTCTATGGTGTGGTAGTGTCGCATCCCTACTGGGAGTGAAGTGGTTCAGGTATGTGTTGCCTTCAGATTACAAAAGTAACTTCAGATTAAAAAGTAACAGACTGCCCCATCCTGCTCCCTTCAAATACTAACATCCTTGGGAGGATGAGCATCCTCCAGGACATAAAAGTGAGATCATACCTCCTGAAGACACCCAGTGTTGATAGTATGGTTTTGGCTAAATCAAATTTTAACACAGGTAGATAGGGATAGGACAAGGAAGAATAGTTTTAAACTAAAATAAGGGAGACATATTAGGTTTTGCTGAGAAGGTGGTGAGGCTGCCTAGAGAGGTTGTGGGTGCCCCGTCCCTGGAGGTGTTCAAGGCCAGGTTGGTTGGGGCCCTGGACAGCCTGATCTGGTGCCTAATTTAGTGGATATTCTTTCCAAACCAACCCATTCTATGATTCTGGGATTCTGGTATTCTGGTATTCTATGACTGTATTCATCACTCTCCTGAACCTAGACAAGCTAAAGTAGTGCAGTGTTTGTGCTTCACCCTAGAAATGCCTGAATTCCTCACTCTTTATAAATGAAACATATTAGGAAGAAACAACTCTCTTTAAAATGACTTCATCCATGGGAATATCCTCAGACTGGTTCAGGTATAGGCACAGAAACAGATAATTAGGTCAGCCTGTTTCAGAGAGCTAATGACTCCCAAAATTCAAAATACAATACTCTAATAATGAATATTATTTACTCTGTGTGGGCTACTTTCATGAGATAATAACAAAGTGAAGTGAAAATTCATCTTGCTGGAAATATGTAATATTGCCAAAAGAAAGCAAGCTCGCACTTTCCCCAGTGAGAATTACAGAAAGCGAAAAGCAGAGGAGTTTGATCTTTTGGCATTTACTGCAACATGCTGGCTGTTTATCTGAAACAAGAGGAATGGTCAGCCAGCTGGCAGCCTCCTGGAAGCCTGCATGTCTCCTCTGAGCAGATGGCACACACAGAACCTGAACACAAAAACTTGTCCTTTTGTCATAGGTACTCAAAAAATTGCTTCAAAGTACAACAGTGGACTTCCCTGTGACCACTGCCACTGCTTTCAGAGAAACAGCAGGGAGCATTTCAACATGGATACGAGACCATTCAGTACAAAGTATTTAATTTTTCATGTTGAAATAAGCCTAGCACTGATCTTTGTGTCACAGCACCAAAACCAATAATGAGAACAGTAACCACTCTGGTAGACTTAGAATCATAGAATCATAGAATCATAGACTCACAAGGTTGGAAACGACCTACAAGATCATCCAGTCCAACCGTCTCCTCATCACCACTGCCTCCACCAGCACTAAACCACATCACACAGCACGTCATCCAGACACCTCTTGAACACCGCCAGGGACAGCGACTCCACCACCTCCCTGGGCAGCCATTCCAGTGCCTGAACACTCTCTGAGAGAAAAAGTTCTTCCTTATGTCCAACCTAAACCTCCTCTGATACAGCTTGCGGTCATTACCCCGTGTCCTGCTCGTTGCCTGGAAGAAGAGGCCAAATCCCTCTTCACCACAGCCTCCCTTCAGGAGTTGTAGAATGCAGTGAGGTCTCCCCTGAGCCTCCTCTTCTCCACACTGAACAATCCCAGCTCCCTCAGCCGCTCCTCATCAGCCCTGTGCTCCAGACCCCTCACCAGTTTCATTGCCCTTCTCTGGACACGCTCCAGGACCTCAACATCTTTCCTGTAGTGAGGGGCCCAAAACTGAACACAGTGCTCGAGGTGCAGCCTCACCAGAGCTGAGTACAGGGGGATGATCACCTCCCTGCTCCTGCTGGCCACACTATTTCTAATGCAGGCCAGGATGCCGTTGGCCCTCTTGGCCACCTGGGCACACCGTCGGCTCATGTTCAGCCGAGCATCAACCAACACCCCCAGATCCTTCTCTTCTTCACACTCATCCAGCCACTCATCCCCAAGCCTATAACACTGCATGGGGTCGTTGTGCCCAAAGTGCAGGACTCGACACTTGGCCTTGTTAAACCTCATCCCATTCACCTCAGCCCAGCGGTTCAGCCTGTCTAAATCCCTCTGAAGGGCCGCCCTACCCTCAGGCAGATCGACACCACCTCCCAGCTTGGTGTCATCTGCAAACTTGCTGAGGGTGCACTCAATCCCCTCATCTAGGTCATCAATAAAGATATTTAACAGGATGGGCCCCAGTACCGACCCCTGGGGGACACCACTTGAAACGGGTCGCCAGCTGGACTTCACTCCATTCACTACGACCCGCTGGGCATGGCCCTTTAGCCAGTTCCTTACCCAAAGAAGTGTATATCTGTTCAGACCACGGGCAGCCAGTTTCCCCAGAAGAAGCCTGTGAGGGACCGTGTCAAAGACTTTGCTGAAGTCTAGGAAGACTACATCAACAGCCCTTCCCTCATCTACCAGACTAGTCACCCAGTCATAGAAGGAGATGAGGTTGGTCCAGCATGGCCTGCCTTTCACAAACCTATGCTGGCTGGAGACTTCTCTGTCTCTTCCAGCCTCCCTGCACCCATCTTTGCCACGCCACTTCCCTGTTTCAGATATGACTACAGACTGGGGGAGGAACTCACTGAAAGCAGCCCTGCAGAGAAGAACCTGGGGGTCCTGGTGGATGAAGAGCTGGTCAGGAGTCAACAGTGTGTGCTTGTGGCCTGAAAGGCTAATGGAGTACTGGACTGCATCAAGAGAAGGGTGGCTAGCAGGGCGCGGGAAGTGATTGCACTAAGAAGGGCAACTTGTTTTCCTTCCAGTACTTGAAGGGGGGAGACTGACTTTTTGCACAGTCTGATAATGATAGGATAAGGGGGAATGGTTTTAAGCTAAAAGAGGAGAGATTTAGGTTGGGAGAAATTCTTCACTCAGAGAGCGGTGAGGCATTGGCGCTGCTGCTCAGAGAGCTGTGGGTGCCCCAACCCTGGAGGAGCTCTAGGCTGGGTTGGATGGGGCCCTTGGCAGCCTCAGCTTTTGAATTAGAAATCTCATTTTACTTTTCCTCCATTTATTCTTTAATGACTATTTATGAACACTTTTTGCACATTAGAGCACACATGAAAATAATAAGTTCTCTGGGATAATTACTGCAGGAAACCTTTTTGGTCATGCACCCTCCAAACTGCAGGCAACTTTCTGGAACATTTTATTAGACAACCTGGAAGCAGGAAGGTGTCATGGCTACCAATTATTGATCTCATTAGCAAATCAGTCCGAGGGATGTAAACTCTGCAGTTAAAACTGTGACATTTCTGATTTTTTGTCAGAAATGCTAAAATCCTTGTTGATAACTGGTTACTGTCTCTGAGTGGGATTCACTATCTGCCATTCGTTGTGGTGAGGCAATACCCGTACCCATGCGGATCCTATGACATGCAAAACCCGTTATCCCGGCACAGCAGCCTGATATCTATTAGGAAAAACGCCGATTTCTCCTAGAACTGGAGCCAGTGGCACAAACGCTCCTTCTTGAAGAACTGGACGAGGTGGCGGAGCTCCCCCTAACGTTGTTTCCATTCCCTACAGCCCAGCCCAGGTGGGTGTCAGGGTGGGCGCTGCCCCGGGGCCCGGCATGCCCGCACCTCTGGGCACGGTGCTCGGGGTGATGCACCCACATCAGGAGCCCCTATTGACTCACCCGAAGGTTTCAGCTTGGCCCACTCCCTATGCTGGGCCGTGTTTGAATTTAATGATCACTCCGTTGCTAAGAGCCCTAGGGAAAGGTCTCCATAGCCATCAAGGTTACTAACTCTAAATAAGGAGCAAACTAAAAGCCATATTTTTTAGCCTACCTGTAAGGATTAAGTGCGACTTCCATTTGCTGACATGCCAGAGGCCTCGTACCATCAAAGGCCTCAGGGTATTGGCTGAAGTGAAAAGAATCTTGGGGTTTTTTTTTGCCCTATTTTCATTTAAAACCTGCTTCCACAAGAAGATATAAAGAGGATTCTGCTTAGGAGGAGTAAAATCCCATGCACACACTCAAGCATCTTATCTCTTAAAGCTCAATGGACAGCTCTAAAGTGCACAAACTTTTAACAGATAAAGGTTATTTTATGAAATATTCCTGTTTCCAGGCCCCAAAGCCTGTAAAAGCCAATGTCAGACATGGAACAGAGGCATTTTAGAGGTCACTGTGGCCTGGATGTAGGGGGGTGATGTTCTGCATGAGTTTTGAGGCTGGGTGGGGTAACTGATATGAGTTCTGTTGCCTGCTGGCAGAGCTTAATCTGAAATATTGATACAAGGTGAGAAATATTGCAGACTTCTTCAAAGAAAAGCCCCAAAGAATCACAGAGTCATAGAATGGCTATAGAAGGGTCCATAGAAGGAACCTCAAGGATCATTGAGCTTCTACCCCCCTGCTACAGACAGGGCCACCAACCTGCACATTTAATACTAGAC